CTTTCTGTCTCTCTCTGTCTTTCTGGCGAGCGCATGTGCCCGATAGCAAAAACCTCTCAAAAAAACGAAAAAAGAAAGAAAGAAAGAAAGGAAGGAAGGAGGGAGGGAGGGAGGGAGGAAAGAAAGAAGAAAAGAAAAGAAAAGAAAAGAAAAGAAAAGAAAAGAAAAGAAAAGAAAAGAAAAGAAAAGAAAAGAAAAGAAAAGAAAAGAAAAGAAAAGAAAAGAAAAGAAAAGAAAAGAAAAGAAAAGAAAAGAAAAGAAAAGAAAAGAAAAGAAAGAAAGAAAGAAGAAAAGAAAAGAAAAGAAAAGAAAAGAAAAGAAAAGAAAAGAAAAGAAAAGAAAAGAAAAGAAAAGAAAAAGATACTTATCATCTAAGATTCTAAGGGCTTTAGAGAGATTTTTGCTATAGGGCACGTGTGCTCACCAGAAAGAGAGAGACAGAAGGTGAGAAATCACCCCCCGGGGGGATGGCCATGCCACAATCCCTTCTCCTCCACTCTCCTCTTGGGATTTTGGGCATATATGCATACTTGCCTGGTGTGAGTTTTAAGGTGCCAGGTCCAGGACTCAAACCATAGTTGACTACATGGGAGTCCAGCATTGTTACCATTATGCCATCTTGTGATACCAGAGTCCAAGGGCTTTAGGAATTAAAAGCCAGAAAATGGAACAAAGATCAAATATATTCAATATTTTATGAATCACAGTATTATATTAGTGATAAAACACAATGAACTATTACCTTTATGCTACAAAGTTTTAATTTTTGGTTAGGAGGCATCTTTTATTTTTTTTTTACTTAATAATATAATGTGGAAGGAAGGCCACATATTGGATCTTGCACATGAACAAACTGTTTGTCCATTTTGTTCCCTTACCCTAACACGGCTGTCGGCTTCTGTAAACCTGCTTGCTCTTCCCATGAGAAAATAGCTCATGCTAGCCATACAGAAAACCATATCCGGGACAACATCCTGTACCTGCTACAGTCTTTGCTAACTAGCCAGAAACCCTTTTGTTTAACAATGTAACTGCTTGTATGGAAACCCCACTCCCCTCGGAAATAATTAACCTGCTTGATTCAGCTTCCATAATTGTTTACATAGCAACCCCTGGTAACTGACCCCCTATAGAAAGACTGCTCAAACTTCGGTCGGGGCTACAGTTCTGACTCTCGGTCCCCGCCACCTGCCCCGGCTGAGCCTCAGACTGTAGTCGCTGGCCAGCTAATAAAGACTCCCTTTAAACGTAATCTGGTTTTGGTGGTTGTTCATTTGGTGGCACTCCACAACAATAACCTGGAGATCATTCCATGATATATTCAGATCTTCTTCACTTAACAATTAGGTTACATCTCAATAGATGTAACCATCAGGGCTGACAATATCCTAAGCTGAAAATGTATTTAGGAGCCAGTTAGTGGCATGGTGGTTAAAGTAGCTGGAGCCCACATGGTTGATTGCAATTTCAGTCCTGGATCTGGAGGCTTGAAAAAAACTTGCCAGGCATGTGTGTATGCATGCCCAAAATACCGAGAGAAGAAAGGAAAAGAAGGGATTGCATGGCCATAGCTCCCGGGGGGGGGGGGGTTATTTCATTTCCTTTCTCTCTCTCTCTCTCTGTCAATCCAGCAAGGGCCCCATGATAAATATTAGAAAAAGAAAAGACATTTAATACTCCTAACCTATCAAACATCATAGCTTAGCCTAGCCTATCTTAAACATGTTCACAACACTTATTTTCATTGGCCTCTGGTTGGCAAAATCACCTAACAAAAGCCTATTCTATAATAGTACTGAATATCACTCGTAATTTACTGACTACTGTACTGAAGGTGAAAAACAGAATGGCTGCGTGGGTACTCAAGGCACAGTTTCTACTAAATGTATAATATATTGCTTTTGCAACAATGCAAAGTCCAAAGCTCAGAAGTCTAGGCTATCTGTACAGTTCGTTTTGTACTTCACTGAGTGGATATAGTATCGTTCAATCAGTCTCCTACAGGTGAATGTCAGCTGCTTGGGATTTTTAACTATTACAAACAATGCTGCAACAAATAACCCATACATTTCATCATCTGCCAAACTGCCCTCCCTAGGGTGGTACTGATGTACACTCTCACCAGCAACATATGAGCACCTGTTTCTCCAGTCATGCTTAGTGTCTTATTAAACCTACAACTTTTTCTCAATCTGACGCAAGAAATGGTGAAATCACCATCTCAGTCTTTTTTTTTTTTAAGCTGTTTGAACTGACATTAAGCATAAGCACTCTGTGCCACAAATGGATCTCAGTTCCTCACACCACCACTCCGCAGTATAAAGTAAACTATTTATTCTATCTTACGGATGAAGGAAGTAAAAGAGGCCAGAGAGCTATACTCACATGCATCAGACTGTAAAGCTCCTGCTTACGAATCACTCGCACTTGTTGCTGTCTTGTCTGTGCGATGTGCAATACAGAGGACAGGAGACCAACGCTCCACTTCCCAGGCAGCCACTGGGAAGGTATCCATAGATAAGCCCTTTCCCTTCTGAGCCCTGGTGTCACCCAAGTGCAGGCAAAAGCTATTTCTCAACCGTGGGTGCAGTGTACCTAAGTTACCTGGGAAACTTAAAAGCTACGTCTAAGCTCAGGGTGTGTTTTGTTTTGAAGCTTGCCATAGGGCATGTGTGCTAGCTGGAGGGAGACAGAGACAGTGAGAGGGAAAGTAAGAAATCACCCTGTGGGGGAATGGCCACATCACAATTCCTTGTTCTCCATTCTCCTCTCAGGATCTTGGGCATGCACTCACAAGTACCCAGTGTGATCTTCAAGCCACCAAGTCTGGGACTCGAATTGCTCAGTTGGTGATGTGGGATCCAGCCACACAACCTGCTGGCCCTAAGCTCAGGGTGGCTTTAAAGTGATTTTTCTTTCCCCCTAAAGCTATTTTTTTTATTATATTTATACTAGTTCTAACACTTCAGCAGTAGGAGGAGTGGAAGAGGTTTCTTTTACACTCCAGGGGCCTCCATATGTTGGTTTCTTGTTACCAAACAAACACACAGGCAAGTGGCATCATGGATTTGGTAAACTAATGCCAATGCTGAGTCTCTCTCTGCTAGAGCAACTAGGTGAGCATCAATCTCTGCTTCTGTAAGAATCCTGAACTTAGGATTTTCAACTGTAACTACTCTATTTCTACTTCTATTTCTGAAGGTCTGAAGTCAATTAGAACAGTAGACAGACATGTAATTGCAGTTTCCACTGTCTGCTCAAATGTCCAATCAAATTTCTTCTTCACTTTTTTTTTTTTCCAAGGAAACTGGTTGACTCACTTTGTTTAACTCCTGTGGCAGTGGCTTTCAACCCACAGTAGTGACCTGCAAGATCACACCTGTACACCTGAGGACCTTGTTCTTCATCTACACCAATTAAAATCCTACGACAACCAAGAGGCCTCATTTCAGCATTCTGTGTGGAGACCTGAGAAATATCAGCACTTCTTTTACACAGCATGTCCACAGGAATCTCATAACCATACTTGTATTTCCAATTGGCTGCCTCATAACATGCCCTCTGTACCTGGGATCGGCTGTCAGCTGTCATTCCTATCATCACACAGCCAGTGTTCTGTTATCTTGAAGAAGTGAGTCACTGTGCTGGAATCCAGCAATTTGTCAGGAACGTTTTTCTGTGCGACAATTACTGCACAGTCTTTCCCTCTCACAGCTACTGACGAGAGGCCACCCTGGTTACAGCCTCAAAAGCATATTCTACGTGGTAGAGCTGGCCCTCGGGTGAAAAAATGGTAATGTGGCGGTCAAAACCAGCGCAGGAACCCCGGGATGCTGGAACCCCGGGACACTGGAACCCCGGGACGCTGGAACCCCGGGACGCTGGAACCCCGGGACACGTTCGTGTAGCCACTACTTCCAAGTACAATCTCCTAAAGTGATTTTTTTTCTTATTAAGATGAAGGCCAACCATTTTTTTCAAATGTTTAAGGTTCATTTGCATATCACTGTGAATGCGCTCTTTTACCTGCGCCTATTTTCCTAACTAGGCAGTTGGTCTTTTTCTTCACTTTTAAAAGTTCTTTCTGGGTCAGGAATATGAATCCTTTTAGCTGCAGTATCAGTTGTAAATTGTTTTTCCCAATTTGTCACTTATCTATTAATAGCACTTGGTTATAGGGAACCATTTTATGGAAAGCTAAAGGTGAACACTGGAAACTCAGGATATAGTCAAACTTTTCTACCTTTCTTTTTCTTTTCTTTTCTTTTTTTTTTTTTTTTTTTGAGAGGTTTTTGCTACAGGGTGCATGCGCTCGCAAGACAGAGAGACAGAAAGCGAGAAATCACACCCCCCCGTGGGAGGGGGGACAGCCATGCCACAGTCCCTTCTCCTCCATTCTCCTCTCAGGATCTTAGGCACGCACGCACACATGCCTGGCATGAGTTTAAGCCACCAGGTCTGGGATTTGAACCGTGGTCGACTACATGGAAGTTCAGCGACATAGCCATTATGCCAACTGCTGGTCTCTCTAGCTTTTCTTTCTAACAAAAACCAGTATCGAAGTCTTTCCTTTCTCTATCTATGCTTTAATTAAGTCAAATATCAACTCTTTTATCAAACATCTGTAGCTTTTGTCTAGCTAGCACCCCTTTTCCCTCTTATTGCCATTAGAACTCTTTCTTGAGGAAAATCCATTCCCCACGCAACAGATAGACATAAACCAGGTCTGGTCAATCGGGAGTACTCATTCCAGATATAGGAACTGATTAAGGGATTGGCGTAAGAAGCAACCCCTTCTGGCTGGCTCCATAACACAGTGGGTTAAAGGAGCTGGATCCCATATGGCAGACTGCAGTTTGAATCTTGGTCCCAGGTGGCTTGAAAAATACACGCAATGTTGGGACCAGCAGTTAACGTAATGACTATGTCACTGAACTCCCATGTAGCCGACCATAGTTCGAGTCCTGGACCCAGTGGCTTAAACTCACGCCAGGGCGCGTGTGCGTGCATGCCCAAGATCCTGAGAGGAGAATGGAGGAGAAGGGATTGTGGCATAGGGGGGTGATTTCTCACTTTCTATCTTTCTGTCTCTCTCCGTCCTTCTGGCAAGTGCATGCGCCCTATAGCATAAACCTCTCCAAAAAAAAAAGTAAAAAACACTGGGCATGTGCCTATGTGTGCCTAAAATCACAATAGGATGAAGAAATAGAGAAGAGATTGCAGTGTAACCATGCCCCATCATGGGGTGCTTTCTCCACCCTCTCTCCTCCTCTGGTAAGTGCAAATGTTCTCTGGCAATTCAAAACAAGAGAAAGTGGGGGGGACAAAAAGCCCTTCTGAAGAACTTGTTTGTTAAGCTAGTCCATTGGATTATTGGATTATTATCAAATCTGCCACTTGGAGTAAGCCTGCCCAAGAGAAAGAAAGGAGCAAAGTCTGAATCCCTGGATTCAACCAGTCTACCAGCACACCAGATCTTGACCTATTTTATGCATCCTCTTAGGTTGTCTAAGGTAGTTTGACTTGCATTTCTGTCACTTACAGCCACAAGGGTTTAATGATTTGTTTTCAAAGAGCATCTAAAAATTTCTTCCCCCAAATACCCTGAATTTGTTACCTCTTGAGGCCAAAACTGTCTTCCTTCTCGCTGGTCTTCCAGATAATCACGAATGATGTTCGTTTTCTGCAGAAACAGGCCCATAGAATTGGCTAGCTCTACGTCTTCACCAACTAAGGGGTCTTCAAACTCTGAGGCCGAAAACAGATGGGATAGGCCAATTCCCACCAGTCCAGCAACATAGTGGCAGTACTGGAAAAGATTATTTTAAAAGTACTTTAATGATGACTTTTTTTACTAGCGTGTAAATGCTAGAGATTATGAGCTATAAAAAAATACATATATACACACATGCACTTAAGGACTGTGAACAAAAGATTAAACGGTGATTGCTGACCTGATGGGTATGTAATGTTTTTATTTTTTACTTATAGTTCTTAAATTTCCTATTAATATATTTATTTATTAAATTTCTTTCATGAGAAAGTATTAGTTGCATGCATGCACATGCCCATGAGAGAGAGAGAGAGACATTCTACACAAGGTCTCATCATGCTGCGATTCCTTTCCCTCAGACCTCCAACCAGTTAGGATCTTGGTTGCCTATGGCAAACATATTTCAGTTCAATTCAGAATCCAAACACATGGTCAGCCGAGTGGCTTGTAACACTGTAGTTCCGTACTTTATCACCTACACCATCATGGTTGGGTCTATTTTCTAAATTTTTACAATGCACATATACTATTTACTATTTCTATAACATGAGGCTATTGTTGAAGCCCAGGTTCAATCCCCAGTCCAACCTAAAGGCCAGGCACATTGGCATCCACTTGTAATCCCAATGGCTCAGGGAGGCTGAGGAAGGAAGACTGTAGGCTTGAGGCTGGCCTAGATAACACAGACAGACCTTATATTTAAAAAAGAGGGGTGGGGGCCAGCAGGTGGGATGGAGGTTAAAGTGCTGAACTACCACATGCCTGACCACAGTTTGAGTCCCAAACCTAGCAGATTGATAATCACACTGCATATGTGTACATGTGCTGAAAGTCCCAAGAAGAGAAAGGACTGTGGTATGGCCATCACCCCTGAGGGATAGTTTCTCATTTTCCCTCTCTCTGTCTCTGTCTCTCTGGTGAGCACATACACACCCTATGGCAAAAATTTAAAAGAGGAGAAAGAAAGAAAGAAGAAAAAAGAAAATGAGTCTCATTTGTCAGCATAATATACATACAATCCAAGTTAATATCTTTGGATTCTCGTGAGCTGTTCTTTATTTCTGAGGAAACAGACTTAAAAGTAATCTGTTTGAACCAGCAAATGGCGTGGTGGTTAAGGCACTGGACACTCCCACATCGCCGACCACAGTTCAAGTCCTGGACCTGGTGGCTTGCTTTCTCACTTTCCCTCTCTCTCTCTCTCTCTCTAGTAAAATTAAAATAAATTAATTAATAAAGTAATTCTTAAAAAAAATTTAAAAAATAAAAGTAACCTGTTAAGACAGGATTAAAAATGACTCAGATACGAAGGTATGTGTACATACACATGTACTTAGTAATGGTAAAGGAGGAGAAAAAAATTTATTTTTCAAATTTGAGGCCAGCTATACAGATGCAGCAGTAATGCAATGCTCTGCAATGCTAAAGTTGCATGGGAAGGTCCCAGGTTTGTGCCCTGAGGTCTCCCTGTACACACAGAGTACATGTGTGCCTGTTATCCTGGCTGGCTGAGGCTAGGGGTGGATCATCGTGTGAAGACCTGTTGGGGAGGACTGTCTCCCTCTAACTCTCTCATAGAAATAAATAAACTTGAAAAACAAAGATCTGAAAACTGGCATTTCTTTTCTGTTTTAATATTTTGCTATAGTGTGCATATGCTCACTAAAGAGGGGGTGGGGGGAGAAAGGAAAAGTAAGAGAGCACCACCACCATGGGCGACGGTCACATAGCAATTGTTTCTCCTCTGTTTTCTTCTTGCACCTGGTATATTTCCCAAGCTGCTGGGTCTAGACTCGAACAGCAGTCAGCTCTGTGGGACTCAGATGCCTTAACCACCATGCCACCAGCAGGTCCAAAAACTGTTATTTTTAAATTACATGAAGTAATTTGGCTAATTAACTAAAATCTCATAGTGGTTTTATAAGATTCATGTCCGTATGTTTGAGACAAGTTATATCTACTTTGGCCTTGTTTAACTATAAGTGCTTTACAGCATGGATTATTTCGCTGACGGAGTATTACATTTTAAGCCCCTATTAAATGTTTATGATGAGACATTCAACTGAAACAGATAAGTTATAAAACCAGAAGACATAGACAAGCTTTTCCTTATCTTGAACTTCACAATGAGGACTGCAGGCTTTGTGCGCCATGCAGAGAGGCTGTCTTGCAGAGACACTAACCTTGTCCCACTCTCGTTCAGATGTCACATGCTTATTCAAAAACTCTGCCATCCCCATTCCCATTTTCCGACAAATGTCAGCAATCACTATTTGATATTTCTCAGCCAGATTTCTAAACTCGAGGGAAATCTAAAATGGAAACCATTAAAAAAAAAAACACATGAAATATGCAGTTACATGGTACCAAAGAACAGGGCAAAGCAACAGTGTAAGTCACTGATTATGACGCCCAAATGATATAAACCTAATCTAGGTTCTGCTAGTTTTCTACATACTGAATAATAAACTCAGCAACTTTTATAAAACAGAAGGACCTAGAAATGTTAATGTTTTAGACATAATAGTGTTTAAAATCTCACCACACATTCGATTTTCTCACCGCACACTAATATATATTAAATGACTTGCTTCAACATAAAGTTGAACACGAGTGTAAGAATTTTAGGGAGAATGCCTTGTTTCAGACAAACTTCATTCAGCAAAGATTCATTTACACAAATGTGTACTGAGGATTTCCTATGAACAAACATTATTCTAGGTATGGGGATAAGATCAGGAAAACAAATAGAAACTTACTCCATTAATGAGTTTACATTCTAGTGAGGAGATTATCCAACCATTTCTATCATCAGTTCCCCAGTTTGTATCATGAAACCAAACCATCTCCTTATCCTAAGGCTGTACTTTTTAATTCTCTAAACAATTCAATTCAATATGAGGCATGAGGCATGCTGCCCAATTTTTTGTTTGCAGCCACTCGTGTAAAGTAGTATTGAGGGACAGCCACGTGGTGTGCTGATTAAGGCAGCTGGATCCCACATGACCAAATGTGTGGTTCAAGTCCCGAACCAGTGGCTTAAAAATCACACTGGGTGTGTGTTTATGTGTGCCCAAAATCCTAAAAGAAAAATGGAGGAGAAAGGATTGAGGTATGGCCATTCTAGGGGGTGCCTTCTCACTTCCCATCTCTCTCTTTCTTTCTTTTGTCTTTCTCCAGTGAGCACACATGCCCTATAGCAAAACTTAAAAAAAGAAAAAAATTCAGTATTGACTAATTAAATTCAAATTTGTATTTATTGCCACTGCAAAAATATCTTAAGTTCAAGATGTTTACAGGTTGTTAAAATACAAGATAAAAATACCATGAAACTTCTTGAATAAAATGCTATAAAACATCAATAGAACCAAAACAAGATACTAAAAATAGTGAACAGACTTCTTTGTTAAGGATCAAAGGTGTGAGATTATACTTTGTGTTTAGAGAACAGATAGAAAAACTTCCTCAGAACACACTGACAATTAAAGCTAAGGGAAAACCAGCTGCTTGCAAAGCACCATAATAATTCAGAAGTCTGGGATCATTTAGAATTTATCTGATGCACATCAAATGTTAAACCTCTAAAACCCATAAAATCCAGTCTGGTCTTTCCAGAAAGCTGTTCTTGGGACGAGCAGATGGAGTAATGGTTACAACACTGTACTCTCACATATTTGTCCATGGTTTGAGCCCCTGACCTGGCAGCTTAAAACTCACGCCAGGCACGTGTGCATGTATTCTCAAGATCCCAAGAGAGAATGGAAGAGAAGGGACTGTGGCACAGCCATCCCCCTTCGGGAGTGGTTTCTTGCTTTCTGTCTCTCTGTCTCTGTCCCTGGTAAGCACACATGCCCTATAGCAAAAATCTCTCTTTAAAAAAAGAAAGAAAGAAAGAAAGAAAGAAAGAAAGAAAGAAAGAAAGAAAGAAAGAAAGAAAGAAAGCTGTTGTTCTTTTCACCATAGCTGTTCCAAGTCAAAGCCAAAAGGTAATTCCTACTGTAGATTTAAACAAATTAGCAACAACAAATAACTCAAGAGGTTATTTGATTCCTTGATTCTTCCTAGGACTTGGTTCCTTCACCAGATCCTTGGCTAGACTAGTTCTATTTATAAGAAAGCAAAGGCCAAAGAGGGTGGGGAGAAGGCGCTTACACTGAAAAACAAAAACTCCAAAATAAACCCATGCACTTCAGAATCTGATCAAGCCCCTCAACAATTATTTAACACTTGTCATATAATTATTGCAATTCAAAAAATTAAAACAAAAATATCCCAGAAAGAACGACAATGAGAACTCTGTTGTTTGCCCAGTTGGAAAGAGTATGCTCTCCTGAGCTACAGAAAGAAGGGTTTCTCTGGGAAATAAGAGAACATGGGATTTTGCTAAATCAAACCTTTATTTATAAGCTATGGAGGAATCACTATTGTGTGATATAACATGCAAATCCTAGCAAAGTGGGACTTAGTCCCATGTACATAAAATTGACTCACTAAAGCTCAAAGTTTTAGTGATAACCCACTTTACTCCAACAGAATGGACCAAATAGCTAATATTTACAGACTATTTAGTATGTACCAGCCACTATTCTAGGTACTTTAACCCTCACAGCTCTAACTTTACAACTGAGACACAAAACAGTAAAGGAACTTACCCCAGATCACACAGCTATAAGCAGGAGAGGCTCACTCTACTTCTCAGTCCTTACCCCAGTTACTGAAAGGGTCCACTCCCTAGCCCACGGTTGCTACCCATCTTGAGCAGCAATCTCACACTACCAGGCTTAGGGCATATAAGAAGCCAGTAAGGTTATACAGTTAAGCTGCATTACACTCAGTAGGTTTTCTGAGCCAGTCTTCGAATCTTTCACAATGAAATTGGAAATGCATCTTCCCACAGGAAGCAGCTTTGGACTTCCAAATAACAAACTGGTGATAATAACAGTAGCCAATCCCATTCTAAGAGCTTTACCTATTTTCACTCTTTTAATCTTCACAAATTATTATGAGGTAGGTACTATTATTAGCCCTATTTTGTGGATGAAGAAACTGAGGCACAGAGAGGCCATGTAATTAACCACCAGATATTAAGTGAGAGCATTTGGATTCTAACTCAGGCAGTCTGGCTTCCGGGTCTTAGCAATCAGAATTCCTAACCATCGCCTCCTGCTGCCCATCGCCTCCTGCTTATTTTGCCTTTCTCTGCAGGTATGCAGGCTAGCGGACACTGCATTACCAAGGCAAGTGCAAATGTCTGCAGAAGAGACAGGTAAAGCCACTACCGTTGGAAAGTCCTCCAGCACTTGCCGATCCTTCTCCTTGCTCTCCGTGAACCTCCAGTCAGGTTGGTA